AGGTGATTTTTACTATCTTCTTTTTATTTACTATTTTCCAATTTTTCTACAAATGAAATGTATCACTTTTGTAATTTTCAAAGTTTTTTTAAGTAAGTCAAATAACTATCAGTCTGATTCAGTTTTAGTATACCTCTCACCTTGAGACAGGAGAATAGACAAAGTGACTTCTTAACTGTCTTCACATCTCGAGAATCCATTGTTTGTTAGGCCCCTCTGATATCAAACAAAAGCCGTGCATCTGGCTACCCCATAAGTACTTCATGGTAAATGGAGATTCTTAATCTTCTCTCTTTACCAAATATGGCAGGATATTTAAAAATCCAATCTTGATGGTTCCCAAGCATAGTCATTTTTAAAAAAAAAATTTATTGAGTTAATGATAGGTTACAATCTTGTGAAATTTCAGTTGTACATTATTGTTTGTCAGTTGTATTGTAGGTGCACCCCACCTTTCCCCTGGTAGCCACTAATCTGTTCTCTTTGTCTGCATTTTTAAATTCCTCCTATGAGTGGAGTCATACAGAGATTGTCCTTCTCTATCTGGCTTATTTCACTTAACATAATTGCCTCAAGGTCCATCCATGTTGTTGCAAATGGGACGATTTTGTTCTTTTTTATGGCTGAGTAGTATTCCATTGTGTATGTATATATACCACATCTTCTTCATCCAATCATCTGTTGATGGGCACTTAGGTTGCTTCCACATCTTGGCTATTGTAAATAATGCTGCAATGAACATTGGGGTGCATGGGACTTTTGGAATTGCTGATTTCAAGCTCTTTGGATAGATACCCAGTAGTGGGATAGCTGGATCGTATGGTAGTTCTATTTTTAATTTTTTGAGGAATCTCCATACTGTTTTCCATAGTGGCTGCACCAGTTTGCATTCCCACCAATAGTGTATGAGGGTTCCTTTTTCTCCACAACCTCTCCAACATTTGTTACTATTTGTTTTGGTTATTTTTGTCATTCTAATGGGTGTAAGGTGACATCTTAGCGTAGTTTTGATTTGCATTTCCCTGATGATCAGCGATAATGAACATCTTTTCATGTGCCTTTTGGCCATCCATATATCTTCTTTGGAGAAATGTCTGTTCCAAGTATAGTCATTTTATCTCTTATACTTTTGGTGACATATTTCCCAAAAGCTCAGGGGTCCTGAATATTTTCTAGTTTTACCCATTTCCCTGTGGAGTCCCAGCCTTGAATAATGTGTTAGAACCAAATACAGGAGGAACTACGGAAGCCTGGAAGCTATGACCATACAGTGAAGTAGCATGCCAGAGTCTCAGGACTTTCTCCCACCCAGCACAGGGGCTGATCCCAGGTAAGTCAGAGCTATGAAAAGAGACCACTCTGCTCCATGCAGCTGTTCTTTCTGCGTTTTGGCTAGTCGCTCCCACCATTTTCCCTTTCCAAAACCCAGATGAGAATCCTTGGCTTGCCCCTCTCCATCATCCCACACTTTCAATCAGTTGCCAAAACTTGTAACCATTACCTTCCGCATATTTGTCATAGCTATGCCTTTCCATTGATCCCACTGCCACTATCCCAGTGCAGTCCCTTCGTTAACTTCCTCCTTGACCTCAGTAAAATCTTCTCAACTGGCCTCCTTGCCCCCATCTCTCTGTGCTCATCTTTTGGCCTACTTCAACCATGTTTACTATATATCTGTGCAAATCCACTCTGAGCAGGCTGCTATCTCTGCCAGAAATCCTTCAGGGAGTCTCCACTTAGTTTCTAACTTTCCAGTCTTGATTTCTATTGTACCCCACACCTACTGCACCTTTCAGCCACCTGCTCTACTTGCAATTCTCAGGCTCCTTTGCATTTTTCACCTGAGGACCTTCCCCAGGCTCCTCCCTCTAGCTAGAAAGTGCCCTTCCTCCATCTCTGCCCACTGAAACGATTATTCCAGAAGCAGGTCAAGTGCCAGCTGTTCCAATAAGTTTTCTTGTTTTCCTTTCCATCTCTATATTGCCACTCCTGCATTGTTTACCACACGTTAACCTTATGTCATCATCTATACATCATTATCCGTGTACTTACCTTTTCTGCCTACCAATATTTCTTAAGAACCTATGACATGTCAAGGGGATGTATTAGGCACTTTATACATGTTATCTAACTTAGTTTAATCCTCACAGAGCCTCATTAGATAGGTACTACCATCCACATTTTATACATCAGGAATCTGAGGCCGTCAGAAGTTAATTAACTTGCTCAAAGTAGCATCCTTACTAAGTGGCAGAGTCATCACTCATTCAAAAAATTTTATTCCAATCCATGCCTGCCAGATTCCTAAGCCTTACAGGCTTTTCAATATAGATTGGGAGGTCCCTTTGGGGGCAATTAGCACTGGAGCATCAGGACAAGGCAGATCTGTTAAAGGCATTTTCTGCCACTCTCTCATTTGATTTAGATTCATTGTGCTATAGGAAATGCTCCTTTGGCTCTCAGTTAGCACTTAGCCTGGGCTAGCACAGAATTAAAGAAATGATTCATGAAGACAAACACCATACAGGACGTATAGTTCCACTGGTGACCCTGGTTATTGTAAATCTGTGAAAGAAACCCCCAGCCCCAGCACAAGTTTAGCAATATAGACTCCCCGTTCCCTGCCACCTCGGTGTAGGTCTTCTGCTAAATCTCTCTGTTTCCCCTGATTAGAGCCAGGGGGATGCCTCAAATTTCAGAAACAAGGTTAGAAAAGCCTTGTTATCATCAGGGGCAGCCTTGGCCATTAATGCGCAACATAGACTCACAAGAAACTCATATGAAGATTAAGAACGGAGAAAGGCTAGTCTACCCTATATTGGTTTTTTCACCATTTAGGGTTGGAAGCCCCCAAACTTGTTGGGTCAGTTCATATTGCCAAATGAAGAATATTATAATAATGGGTTTATTCTCTTCCTTATTGTTTTTGAGTTGAGAGTGTTCAGCAGCTACTGTTTGCTCAAGGAGAGTGTAAACAGGACTTGCTGACGCTTGAGGCCAATGAGCATGACTCCTAGGCCACTTTCACTCTAGCGTAGGGTGTGGATCTAATGGTAAAGAAGCAGAATGGGAAAGGGGGTTAGGTAACTTTAATTGTGTTTTGTTTGTATTTACTCTTTCAACCCTCAAAGCAATCTTCTTTGAGATAAGTGTTATTGAAATACCCATTCTACCGATCCAAAAACTGGTGGTAAGTAACAGGCAGGGACTGGAACCCTGGCATGTGGAATTCCACCGCTTTCCACTGACCTCAGCTCATGCTCTGTGGCAACACCTTTTGCTTAGGCGAATGTCAGTCATTTAAAAGGACTAAAGGCAAAATTTACATACAAGTTAGAGTTCTCAAGTATCAATATTCTTCCCTCTCTCCAAACCAAGATGATACGAAGTGTTTCATTTCTTAAATGTCTCGCATTTCCCATAATTGACAAAGATCTCAACAAGAAGTGGTAGTTGACTGTAAGAGTCTTACCTTCCACCAGGAAACTCCCATGTTGAATTCTTGGGCAAGTGGGCTTGCTTGAACTGGTTACCTCGGTTGGGCAGACCACAGGCCACCAAGGCCAGTAAGCCACGGTCACTGACAAAATTATCCTGTTCCTAGCCATCTTTAAAACAAATCATAAAGCGGCTGGGTGAAAACATAGACAGCCCAGGGCAGGTCATCATCTGGACTGATAAAAGTTACCAAAAGTCCCACTGACTGGGCTCACCTGTGCCATATTCACAAAAGAAGTCACATATCTTTATTTACACAAAACTTTCTCTCCCTCACTTACTTCTTCATGATCTGTTATGCTGTAGATAGTCTGGTGGTTAGAACATCTTCATAATAATATATTTCCATATGGGGTGGGGCTGTTGTTGCTAATCAGTTAACACTGACAACTTATAAAAGATATTTCAACCTCTCAAAACCTTAGTCAAGTATGGCATTTGGGATTACTTTTATAAGGCTAGACTCTTGATTTATTATGAAGTCTTTCACATTTCCCAGAGATAACAGAACAACTTTTATTTTGCCTTCCCAATGCAGTTGTTGTAAATATTTCGTTACCGCCTCTGCCATATGGTTAAAAAAATTTATTCGGAGCACAACCGAATATCGTTTTTTCAATACTATGGAAACTAAGTTTTGTGACTCCTTAATACCCTTTTTGTATCCCTCCAAAAAGAATGTTCAAAAGGCATTTTGGTTGGAAGACATTCACTACCTATTGTCTGAATTATGTTGGCAACATTTTAGAAACACCTTGAAAAAGACTGATGACATATGTCAGCAGAAATCCGGAGAAGGAAAGTAGAGATTGGTGGAAAATGAGATATTACAGAACTCAAAGTCTGGTCAAAGGTGGGTCGTGTGCTGTCAGGTACTAAGCAAAGCGCACTGGGGGAGGCAAAGCTATAAAGAGGATCCATTAGCAGCCGGGCAAGGTAACTGGATGTTTAATGTCGAGGGGAGAAAGAGACGTGATGGGCTCCTTCAGTCCTTCTCACACATCTCCCACCTTCACGCTCCTTCTTGAAGCCATGAGAAAACTACAAAGATTCCCACTTCACTCCACTACTTTCCTCTGGCCTTCCTAACTCTTTTCTTTCCCCACTTCTCCCCTTTCACACTCTCTATTTTGTCCTTCTGTACATAATCTTTGTTTTCAACCACTTTTAAGGTAATTTCATCCCAGCTGGAAAACAACTCATGTCTTCTTCTTCCCTAATTCCCGAGTCCAGCGACCCAGGTTCCTCCTGGGCTCCTTGGAGCTGGGACCTCTCCCCCTGAGCTCAGCAGCTCAAGCTGTGAGGATGATCAATTTCGTGAGTCCTCCAGTGGGCTGCTCTCCACGACGCCAATCTGCTCCTCTTCCCTCCCCCCATGCCTCATACCCCAAGAAATCTAAACTCCGAGGCCTCTGAAACTGTCTGTGCCTAGGTCCCCAAGGTCTTCGCCGGGATCCAAGATTTTTCTGACCAAAGTCGGGTAGGGTCGGGGAGGACAGTACCTCTTTGCAGGCGTGAAGCTCCGGTCCCGCTCCCTGGGTCACCTGGAAGGCGGTCCCAACCCAGAGCAGCAGCCACAGAAGCCGGAGTGTGCGCCGCTCAGTTCTTCCCCTGCCTCTGGCAGAGGGATGGAGGCTGCGCCCAGGCTCAGCCATAGCGTTGTCCTGAGCAAGCGGCAGCAGCGGCTCAGGTGCTGCGGCTGCTGCTACTGCTGGCAGAAGGCGGAAAAAGGGGGAGGGAGGTTCTCAGGGGGAGGATGCAAGGGGCTGGACTCGCTTCAGTCACCTCCCTGCGGCTACGCCAAGGCCGCCCATCCTTCCTTCTCCCTCCTTCCTCTTCTCCTCCTACCCACGTCGCCTTGGCAACCGCCTCCTCTTTCCCTCCGCGCGGGTGGGGCAGGGACCACGCGCTTCTCTGCCGCTCACCTGCTGGTCGCCATGGCAGCTGCTGCCTCTGGCGCGCGCCGCGTGGGAGTGCACGCGCCTGGGGTCTGCAACCGGCCCAACAGGCGACCATAGGACACGTGTAAAGAACGCGGTGGAAACATCCTCCAAGCCATCGCCGTCAAATTCATGTTTTCCACTACCCTTTCGGGCCCCAGGCTATTTATGAGCATCTCTAATTGTGCAGACATGGCGTCCGACAAATATTAAGCACCTCCTGTGTGTGAAGCGATAGAAATAAGATTGAGAGGCCGTCTCTCCTCTAGAAGTTATAGCCTAGAAGAGCGGCCCCGGTAGGCGTTATTGCAACAGCCGCCTCTAGAGATCTTACTTCCATCCCGCCAAATATATCCGTGCCTTTACAACCGGCTCTATGCGAAGCCTGGAGACTCGTATAGTTAAATCGAGTTTAAGCAAGGAGCCTTTGCCTTAGCTGACAACTTTCCAAGCATGACACGTGGGCTCTTCCCTCTCTTGACATCCCATTCTCTCATTGCTTTGAAAAATCCTTTTCTTAGATGTGAGGCAGAAGGAAATTTCTGGGTCATCTTTTAGGACTTCTTTCCTCAACCGAAGTCTTTTGCAGAAGTCCTACACTCCGGGAGGCCGGCGTTTTTCAACTAAGGCTCAGGAGTGCAAATCCAGGGCTCCTCAGTACGCTCAGCAGCGCTTTCCCTCTGTATTCCCAGCCGCTTCCTCCCGAGAGGCCTCTCTGGTTGGACCGCCAGGTGGCGCCCTTCTCGAAGGGAATTCACCTCAGTCATAGATGGCAAGGCAGTTACCTGGCAACAGAAACTGGGCGTTCCAAACAGTTGGGACCCGGGATCCTCCACGTGCCAGGTTTTGTGCGGCTGCGCAGGCCTCCCATCCCTCATAAGAGCGTCTCTCCCTGCATTTTACCATGCCTCCCACCCGAAACCCTTTCCAGCAGCCTACGTTGGATAACGATGATTCCTACTTGGGAAAAATGCGGGCTTCCAAGGTACCGTGGTATCTGGCACAGATTCTCAGCAGGGTCGAGGGCATTCTTCTTTCTGTCGGCACGACAAGCAGAAGTAGTAACTTAAAGGACTCTCGTGAGGACACTGAGTCAGATAACGGAGAAGTCTTATTTCTGCCTGCCTCCATGTCCCCATATTCGGGTCTGCTAACGTTTCAGACATGCTTTTGAGCACAGGGAAGTAGAGCTCTGGTCCAGAGGAGCAAGGGGCTCTCTGCCCAAAGCAGAGTGATTGGTATAATGGAGCTTCAACAGGCCCAGGTTCCACCAAGCCACCCTTTGGCCTGTTTGGAAAGCTGTTCTCTGAAGAGATATGAGATATGGAATGGGAGAGAATCCTCTGAAAGCCACCAGGCCATGCTTTATACATCTGTCTTCACACCATCTCTGTCTTCTTGTCAAGCTGGAATGTGTTTCTGTATGTGTGTCAGTGATTTGAGAATTTAGATGATCTTTTTTCTGGTAGAAGCATTTAAGATGTTTGAAGTGGTGCAAAATAAGGTGGATTAAATGGCAACTGTGGCTTAATAAAATCAAAAAGTTTCCTTTTGTTTATTCAACATTTATTATTTACTATATGCCAGGCACTCTGCTAAACACTGAGGATATATAGATAAATTAGACACAGCTCCCGCTCTCAAGGAACTCTAGAAGAAAAGCCAGACTGACAAAGCAACAGCAAAAGTGCCTGCACAATAGCACATGTATTGTGAGGGATTTATACGCAGTGTGTCATGAGAACTGGGAGCTTAAAGAAAAGCTTCCCAGAGCAGGTGAATTTGGATATCCAAATATGAGTTAGCTGGGCCAGGTGAGGGAGGAGGTGGAATGTGAGTTAGGAAGAAAGAAACAGGAACCAGATATTTAAGGCAAAGGAAGCAGCAGGTACACGTACATGGAAAGGAGAATGAGGGTGGCCTATTTGGGGCCAAAGACTCGGCAATGGCTGGAGCATTGGTGTGAGATGGAGGAGTGAAGAGAGCAGGAGCTGGAGAAGTGATCCTATTGGGCTGGGTGTGCTATGTAACCATGCTAGTGAGCTAGGATTTCACCCTGGAAGTGCTGGGGAATCATCTTGGGACTTTAAGCACTGGAGTGACATACTACATGGATGTTTTAGAAAACACAAGTGGCAGTGGATTGGATAAGATGGGAGTGGGACAAGAGGGATCAGCTGGAGGCAGGTGCAGCAATCTCCAGGAGGAAGAGTAATGATCTAAAGCAGTGATGCAGGGGATGGCGATAAGATGCAATGGGCAGGACTGATGGGACCTTGTGGCCCACTGAATATGGCCCCAAGAGAGCGGACCATCTAGGATAACTCCTAGGTTTCTGAGGGCTTAATTGATACTATTTACTGAATGAGGAGTCCAGGGAAAGGAGGTTCAGGGCGAAAGATGTTGAGATCAATTACGTAGATGTTGCTTTTGTGGTGCCTGTGGGACATTTAAGTGAAGGTGAATAGTAGGCAACGTGGTTGAGAGTTGTGGGTTGGAGATGTACATCTGGAAGCACAGTATTCACATGGTGGTTGAAGCCATAGGAGGGAATCAGCTCCTCTAGTGAATGTGAGAGTGAGAAAGGCAGAAACTAACCCCCTGGAGAATACCTCTAAGGGGCAGAGAGAAAAAGCAGAGCTGAGAAGGAAGCTGAGAAGTAACAGCTTAGAAACAGGAGGAAAACCGAGAGGAGCTGAACCCACATAGGAGGAGAGATGATTTCATGGAATCAGCATTGTGGTGCCAGACACAGCAGATGTCAAATAAGATTAGGTCTGGAAAGGATCCACCTGATGTAGCCACAAAGATCATTGGTCACCAGCAAGAGCAGTTTCAGTGGGTGCTTGAGGCAGAGGCCAGATTGCAGTGGGCTGAAGAGGGGTTGGGAATGGGGAAGAAGTGGAGATAGTAAATGTTGACTCTTTTTTTTTAGGAAGATTAGCCCTGAGCTAACATCTACTGCCAATCCTCCTCTTTTTGCTGAGGAAGATTGGCCCTGAGCTCACATCCATGCCCATCTTCCTCTATTTTATGTGTGGGATGCATGCCACAGCATGGCTTGATAAGTGGTGCCTATGTCCGCACCTGGGATCCAAACCAGTGAACCCCAGGCTGCTGAAGTGGAACGTGTGAACTCAACCGCTGCACCACCGCGCTGGCCCAAATGTTGACTCTTAAAGAAGCCTAGCTCTGTAGGGAAGGTGATAGAGTGGCAGCTAGACAGTGATAAAGGAATGGGAGAGAAGCTGGGTCCAGGGGATGCCAGGATGGTGCAACGAAGGCCTGGGTTTAGGGAAGAAGAGTTATTCTTGAGTAAAAGGGACTTCCCTTTCTTTGAGATGGAAGGAAAGTGGATGTGAAGATGGCATTCATGCTTAACAGTCAACTTTTTCAGTGTAACAATCTCATCTTTCTGCTGATAGAGATGTATGTAGCCTTCAAGGAATAGGAGGAGAGCTGCCTATGCTTGCATCATATATATTTGTAGTTTTGTTTCATTTTTGTCTTTCTTGGTGATAGCACAGTACCTGGTACATACTGTTCATTTAATATCTAATTGAGCTGAGTCACACAGCACTTTGCCATATATGGGATGGGGGGGTTTCCAACATCAGATAGGTCGAATGAGATTTCTACTAGGCTGTAGTTGTACTCACTGGAATTCAGTCACTGATTCAGCCAATATTTTTTTCTTTTTCCCTTTTTTTTTCTTTTTTGTGGTGAGGAAGATTGGCCCTGAGCTAACATCTGTTGCCAATCTTCCTCTTTTTGCTTGAGGAGAGATGTACCAATGTTTCTCCATTTTGTATGTGGGACGCCGCCACAGCATGGCTTAATGAGTGGTGTGTAGGTCCACATCTGAGATCCGAAGCCACAAACCCCAGGCCATCAAAGCAGAGTGCATGAACTTAACTGCTACACCAGCAGGCCAGCCCCAATATTTAATTTTTAAACACCGTGTGTACCACGGGTTAGGTCGCTGTGCTAGGCACTGGGATACAGTGGCAGACAGTATGGCATTTTACATGTGATGAAGAAATCAGTTATGTATTTTTCACATTCATGCTTGTGGGGTTTTATTTAGGGGATTCAATGCCCAATGGATCTTTTCTTTGACATTCCTGCAGTCACGATGACCCTTTCCTGCTTACTGAAATCTTTTTCTCTCCTGCTCAGACACTGCATGCTCCTGATTCTCCTGTCTCTGATTGCCTTAGTGTCCCTTCCCTCGCCCCAGTTAGAATAGTGTGCAGTTCTCATGAACCACCCTTTCCCTTTTGGCCAGACTCCTTTTTGCAGGCTTCAATCACCACCTCATGTGGACCCTCAGATCTCTATTACTTGTCCTTAGCTCTCCTCCAACAACTGCAGATTTCCAATTTTCTACCTGTTAATTGCATTAGGATGTCTTACCTTTCCTTGAAACATAGGACATCTTAACCTGAGCTCATCATCTTTCCTATCTGCTCCCCACCCTTCACCCCCTGTCCCACTCCACCCTGTTCCCTCTATTCCTGGCCCATTTCTGCCAGTTCTGAGATTGAAAACTTAGGAGGATCAGAAGCCTGAGAGTCTTGCCCCATTTCGTTCTTCTCTTGGCAGATGTCCCTCTGAGATTCAATTAAAATAGAATGGCATAAGGGGATGGATGTCACTGAAGCTACCACATCAGCAAGGCCTCCTATAACCAGGCCCTGGGTGTCGTTTTTCTTTTGCAGAAACTGCCATATAAGAACCCAACTCACCTTGCTCAGCAACAGGAACCCTGGAATCGGCTCAACTCAACTCCCACAATCAACTCCATGAGGCGAGATGCTTATTTTTTTGATCCTGAGGTACCAAGCATTGAAATGCTATTTCTCTTTACATCCACTTAGGACTCATTAATATCCTTTTTAAAAGGCAGCCTGTCCCTGACTGCTTCAGCACCTTTATTTTGTCCCCAGTCCAAGATTCTACCAAATCCAAAACCAAATACCAATTTATCTGGCCTCTGGGGAGTCAGAAGGCTTGGGTTTTGCTCCAGTTGATTATCTGGTGCAAATCATTTTCTCATCAGACTTCCCACTTTTCTGATTACAACCATGAATGAGGTAACACCCATTAAGCCAAAGTCAAGGACAGTATAGTGATTCCCATGTCTCCAGGGAGAGCTCACCACTCCTTGGACCTAACCATAAGAGACAATTCTATATTGACAAGAATTAAGAAGTCATCACGTACAACAATTTGGTGTGTATGGAGCTGGTAGATCTTCAGGCCCAAAAGGGGTTTGCTCTGCTTTTGGGGAAGAGTAGAGCCCAACAGAACCTGACCAGAGAGGGGTCAGAGGTGGCAAGTTAACCCTGGGGATGGCTGACTTTCCCTGTAGATACCAAAGGATGACCTGGATTTCCGCTTAGCAGCCTTGTACGATCACCACATGGGGATGTTCAAGAACAAAAGTGAGATACTGTTACAGCAGGAGACCACCCAGGATACCCGTGGGTAAGTGGTGGAGCCGGAGCCCCTCCACCCTAAGGGCAATGCCATCCAATCAAGTAAGGTAAAGTGTCACATGGGAAATAACAATCAATGGGTACTCATTTGTACACAGATTTCCCTGTTTTCTTACATCTGTATCTGTAATGCAATTTCACTATTTTTATTATCTAAAATGAACAGAGATCCTCCAAGATTGTGCTCATCTGTATAAACAAAATCTTCGGCTAATTCCACAGAGAGTAAAAAGGGCCTTTGGCTGATTTTTGAGGTTACATGCAACTATCTTTCCCTCCTCACTTTTCTCCTCCTGATTGATTTCACTCTCCCCTGTTCTTCCCCACACCATCTTCTAGACGCAGCAAGATCCAATTCCCTGGAGAATGTTTACCCCCTCCCTCGCTACCCCCCATCACTTCCCGAGCTAACATCAGACACTGGATCAACCCTAAGAAGGAGTCTATCCACAGCATCCAGGGATCCATAGGTAAGGGTTAAAAGACTGTGTGGGCAGATAGTTGGGGCAAGAGTTTTTCTAAATGGACCCAAGATTCAAGGAGTTGAGGTAACTGGCTATTAGGGACCTTCAGGGATAACTGAGAGTCTTGGAAGAGCAATGATTAAGTTGGCACATCTCAGACTAATACCAGGGACATGCTGACTATACAGCTAGCAAATGAATTCCATTTTCAGAGCCTCTAACTCAGCCTTAGGTCTAGGGGACTAAATTTCCAGCAAGAGGCAGAAACCTGCGAGTGGAAGACCTATAGCCCCCTCTCATCAGTCCTCTATATGCCAGTTTCCCGAGCTGTTACAAGAACCTTCTCCAGAGTACCTATAAATGTATGGGCGATTACAGGTTCCCAGACAAGGTAAAGGATCTGAAATTCACAGCGCACTCTCTCTTTTCTCCAGTTTCCCCTCACACTGCGGCCACCAATGGCGGCTACTCCCGAAAGACCGATGGTGGCTTCTTCTCCACCTAGTGCTGACAAGCCCCTGGATTAATCAGTCATAGTAGAACATCCTCCATTAAATAGATTTGTGCAAGATGAAGCCTGAAGTGTCTGTTACCCATGGACTATGAGTTGCCACGTGACTACTCTTAAAATATGGCAGGGAAGTTTCCTAACTTCTAGAAACTAGTCCTGCTGCGCATATTTGCAACCTGGAAAGTCATCTTGCTGAAAACGATTTAGGACACAACAGCGCTGTTTACGGCAGGAGACAGGTATTCATATTTTGTAAAATGGAGTCATTCCAACCATACAGATACATCCATTCAACATTTCTCACAAACCTTTATGTCAGGCACTCAGCTAAGCGTTGGGGAAACAAGAATGGACACAGCCCATGCTCTTAATGAGCTTACCAACACTGCAATTTTAGTAGCTCTATGTAGCATTAATATTTATGCTGGGGTCACACTTAACAGATTTCAGACCTCCTGAGCTGTCATCTGCTGGCTCTACTTTTCCATGAGGGCCCCATCTCCCTGGTCCTGGCTCCTTGCCTTTGCTCATTCTCTCACTCTGCTAGTGTCTCCTTGCCTGGAAGTCTTCCCTTTTCTGTGTCAATTTGTGCTGTGATATATAACCCCCAATTCTTATAAACGTGGTTCAACAATCTGGTGCTTGGGTTTGAAACCCAAAAACTGATGCATTAATGTGGTTTCTAATATTACAAGCCACTCACAAGAACCTACTGTTGGACTGGTCATGATATGGGCAGACCTTTTAGAATATTTTAGGGCAAATTCCCATTTCTAAGTTTGGATAGCATCTGCGTTGTTAATTCAGATCTGAAAAGGCTTCTTCCTGGTACTCAGGCGCAGTCCTTAAATACCATCAAACCATCTCAACCCTCTTCCACAGACACTCCAATCTATTCAGATGGTATCTGCTGCCAAACGGCACCATGAAGTTTCAGTTCTCATTACTTAGAACGGCTGAAAGTGGCAGAGAGGTGATTCTGAATAGTCACCTCATGCAGGTTATTTGATACTGAACATCAAAAAATTACCGTGATCCATCATGCATCGAGGCTTTTAAAAATATAGATTCTCAGACCTCCCTGATAATTCTAATTCAGTAAATCTGGGGCGGGTCCCTGGAATCTGAATTCTCGTAAGCTTTCCAAGTTCTCTTACGGATACATACACGTATACAGACACGCATATATACCTATATCCCCTAGCGGCAGACGCTGTATAGTGCCTTTAGACCAGAGGGCACCAGTGTTGGCACCATACAGTCATCATGACAAGGCAGGCCTAAAGAAAACAAGGGAGGAAGCAAGGAAGAAAAGCTGCAGCAGAAACAAGGCCTCCGTCCCGGTGCAGCTCCCGCTGCCGCGGGGGGGGGGGGGGGGGCCCCGCCGACCGTTAACGCATTAGCCCCAGCGCCACGGGCGGCCATGCCCCCGGAGTCGGGCTCAGATCAGAATCGCCTCGATAATCAGCGGCCTGGGACAAGCCCGGCCTCGTCTATCTGATCAATTCATCACTTCTGAGCGCCGGGCCCCGTAGGACCGGCTCCGGGACCTTCAGGGCCGCGGCGATGCCGCCGCCTAGGGGGCCTCGCTGCACAGCGCCCCGAGGAGTGGGCTTCGCAGGAGGGGAGCTTCTCATTTCGGGTCGGCCCGGCAGGGCTGGGGTCACAACCCGATCAAATAAGATCAAGGTGTAGGCGGGGGGAAGGGCGCAGGGGCGGGCACGCGCACTCGCCTTGCACGCCCCACGCTCGCACTCACACATGCGCCCGTCCACTCACACGCTCGGCCAGCACGCGCCTTCCACACAACACCACAGCACAATACACACTCCCCGACCCCAGGCCGCTTTCCCTCCGTAAAGCAGCGGAAGTCCGCACCCTCCTTTAAAGCTCTCTGCCCCTCCCCCGCCTCGGAGGATTCTGGGAGGAAACGCCGAGCGCAGGGCCCCGTCGAGCGATCGCTCTGCTGCCCTCTCGTGGCTCGGAGGGGAACCCAGGTCCCAAGGAGGGACGGGACAAATTCCTACAATACTGAATCATGGTTGTCTTTTGATCTTTGTGCAGCTACAAATTTATATCCATACCTATAATTTTTCTTTAATCTTTGATCCAAGTCTTTGATCCAAGTTCTGGAAACAAGATGATTCAATCTCAGGAAATTTATGGGTGAATGACTCTTTTCCCATTGAGGTGAATCCTGGTCATTACCAACAGCAGCTTGCCCAGGAGCTCCTTCCTCCAAGGGAGAAGGCAAACATTATTTTACCAAAGGGAAAGGTGAGAAGACATCATTTAAATCCAAAGACTAGGTAGTCAGAATATTTGTAATATGAGTAAAGGTAGGAAGGCATATCCCTGTCCTCACAGAGAGCCCCCTTGCTACCCAGAACTTGATGGTATGGCAGTCATATTGCTGAACCTTCATTTACCCTGATATCTTTTAAAACATATCTGAGGAGCCAGCCCCAGGGCTGAGTGGTTAAGTTCACGTGGTCGGCTTCGGCAGCCCAGGGTTTCGCCAGTTTGGATCCTGGGCGCGGACATTGCACTGCTCATCAGGCCATACCGAGACAGCATCCCATACAGCAGAACTAGAAGAACCTACAACTAGAGTATACAACTATGTACAGGAGGGCTTTGGGGAGAAGAATAAGAAACATATCTGACTTTCAAACTCCAGAACGAGTAGACTGAAAAAAAGTAGTGATTATATAAGTAGAATTAGTTCCTTTCACAACAGAGAGCACCATTTTAATGTCTCAGTTGCTTCTTTCGCCTTTTTCAATGAAATAGGTATGCGTAGGGAGAAGATAATTCAGAAGAACTTTGGAGATTAGTAGAAACCATTTGTGAATTTATAACTTGTGCTAGTCCCACCGTGCATTTGGAATAAACACATGGGGGGAAAGTATTCATAGCATATGCCAGAAAAGTACTCACTGCATATGCCAGAATCCCCTTGGCTCAAGGATATTCTGGTTAACCTGATAACCTCATTTGAATGAAGAAGTTTATGGCTGGTAATGGCAGATGATAACTGTATTTTAACAGCAGTGGTAGTAAAATGTATTGGGGAGTTTTATCTACCTTATTTAATACACACAAAAATTTACTCATGTATATATGCTGATACATATATCAGCTCCCCCAAAAGAGAAAGCTATACCCTCACAGATTCATACATTCAGTGACCATCACAATGGGTTAACAGGAATGATGCTACTCACTAATATAAACTAAAAAGGTATACACACTATGGGCAGACTCCAGGGGAGTACTGAATAAAGTTCAACAAATTCAGCATGTGACAAATAAAATGGAAAAAAATGGTAGGGAAAGAAATTTTATTTTCAAGGATTTGTGAAGACAATGGTGAATAAAAAAATTGTGTTTCAACTATAAAAAGGTGACTTCCTTCCACCCTGGCATATAGGGTTTATGGTGATGCCAGTCTGAATCAGAGGCAATATTGCTATCCTCACTCTTCCACCCCTAAAAAGACTCCCTTTGAGGAACAATTTCCTGCAATTTTCAGTCAAAAATATATGACACATCAACCAAAGTAATGAGTTAAACAGGTTTCTGCTCATCTGCTTACATAAAGTCAAGAAATGAAATAAGCTGTGTATTTCTTGCTGTAAATTACCTTCACTCTGTACACTTTTGGGGTACATTCTGGTATGAAAATATCTCAAAATATAACAATTCAAGAGTTTAGGTTAAGATGACCCACACAACAGGCTGTAAAAATTGGTTTGAAGAACTAGAACTGTGAAATAGAACTAGTGTAAAACATGAAGCAGCTCTAAGCACCAAGCTTAGAGACGTTAGCCCTATTAGAAAACAAAAGTCATTAAAGCTACAAAATAACAAGTGCAAAACGTGCTGAACCTGTATTTCCAGGGAGTGACATTCTTGTTGGCCAACAGATCCAAACTGACACCCACAGGTGTAACTCTTCTTTCCTGTTCCACTAGATTTCCTTTCTCTCATGTGAAAGAGCCTCAGAAATGACAATGGAAACCATATGAATCATTGAAATTTACCCTGTGGACCAATTCCTGAAGAGATAACAGCCATGACTCCGAGATGATCAGACATGTAGTGTTTACTTGATGACCTTCTATACTTCTAAAAACCCTCAAAGCACTATACTGCATAATTCAGAACCTAAACTTCCTAGCACCTTTTGTCCTTTTGGAGTAAGACAAAAGACAATTTATTGCCACACAGGGGTCAACCACAGCTACCTTGTCCACAGTCAAGTTTCACTTTAATGGACAATTCAACTGGTAGACTTATACCTATGCTTGCATTTTACAACAACTTAATTTCAGACCAACTCCTTCTTAAAAAAAATAGAGAAGTTCTAGGCTTCATAAATGCAACAGTTGATCCTTTTGCATATATGAGGAGGGAATGGAGAACTCTTCCCTTCAAACGTTGAGTCATCTAAAATGATTTGCTCAGGGGCTATCGTACTCCATGGAAAAGCCCATCAGTCTCAACTGCAAACCTCTGCTTTCCTTTACTTTAGAAAACACCCTCATTTTATTCATGGATTCTATAAACTGTCCAAACATGCCTAAGAATCTCAGCAACTTCTCTCACTTACTCAAATTTCTCATGTTCTTATAATACACAGACTTTCCAAGAGACAGCTAAAGAGTACCGCAATAGGAAGAAAATTAAGAGTTGGCCAAGACAAACAAGTAATCAACCAAAAATTGCCATAAAAACCCAGATTTAAACAAAGAATAAGTTTGTATATTGGATAACAGGACAAAACTTCCATCTAACATCACAACAAATTCTTACACTGGATGACTTTACTAGTATATGAATATACTAGATTTATTTATCTCTTCTACTCTAACTGCAAATATATTAAACAACTATTTCTTCAATAGTTTCTCTTTCCTCTAGTTGTGGCATTTAAAACTGAGTAACAGTGTATAGCACTCAGTAATTTAGAAAATACAAAAGACTTTAGGAAAATAGCAACAATGCATTCATTTTCCATATACCATTTGATGGGGTGAAGTCTCCTTTTGGGGATACTGGTGAATAGAACATTTCTTCTTGTCTAAGTTACTGCTTTCTGGTCTCATCACAGACAGATAATTCCCAAGTCTTATGTATGCCCAGATTCTCTTGGCAAAACTCTTGAGTTACCAGCCCACAGCATAGCTATTTCATCTGTTCTCTTTTTGCAATGAGGACCATGCATCTCTCTTATGTTCCCAGATGGGTATATGAAAGACACATTTCCAAAGCCAAAACATTTCTTGGCATGTATAACTCCTGTTTCCTACCCAGTCCCTCTCCCAATTTGCCAAATCCAAATCAAACAGTGAAAAAAAAGTCAAGTCTTGAAGATTATCACTCCTTCCAAGAGGTGTGAACACAGCCTATGTCGTTCCCTTCTGAGCCTCAGTTTGAAAAGACTCTGATGAGGAGCTAAAGAACAAAATAGGTGACAGGTTTTTAAGCAGGAGCTATGTAATCTTATCACCGAGGGATGTAATTCATCTGGACATTATATGCTCTCTGCCAAGGACTGATTTACACACAGATCAAAGTAAGTTGGCTTTCTGGAGTCTCCTGAAGCATAAATAATGTCTGTAACCATGAAGAGTTTTCCCCACATATGGCAGGGGCAGATGCTATGGTGTCATCCTGGGGACTTGGATGATTTTAGCTGAACTCTCCTACGGTGGGCCCAGGCCCCGACAGGTTCTTCACCCTCGTCCCCTTGGTTGGCAGTTGGTGAGATGGATGCTTTGGAATTCATTTTATAAATAGGACGTAAAAGGCCATTACAATGCAGGCGATTGCCACAGCAGCATGTAGCCTGGTTCCAATCACAGCGGCTGGCAGACAAAAGTAAAAAGAGAAAAGAAATCACACGCTGCCCTTTACAGAAGTCCTCACTTTCAAGGTGATATTGTGAAATCTCTAGGCACAGATGAAGAGACCTAGCAAGGGTCTCAAGAACCCATCCAGGAATGTATTTAAATACTACCCTTAAGCTCTAGGTTCTAGGTCAATAAACTGTTTGTATTTTGCCCTATTTTGAGAAAAGACTTAGGTAGGTAGGATTCCAGACAAAGGTGTCCAAAATAAAAAGTAAAAAAAATCTGAGCTAATGAAATCAGAACTTAAAAGAGACTCCAATATATTAGTTCCAGGAATTCAGAAAAACTTTCCAGGGGCTGGCCCTGTGGCCAAGTGGTTAAGTTCACGAGCTCCGTTTCGGCAGCCCAGGGTTTCACTGGTTTGGATCCTGGGTGTGGACATGGCACCGCTCATCAGGCCATGTTGAGGTGGCGTCCCACATAGTACACCAGAGACACTCACAACTAGAATATACAACTATGTACGGGGATACGGGGTGGGGGTGGGGGGCAGCTTTGGGGAGAAGAATGAAAAGAGAGAAGATTGGCAACAGTTGTTAGCTCAGGTGCCAATCTTTTTTTTTTTTTTTCTGCTTTATCTCCCCAAACCCCCCCCACCGTACATAGTTGTATATCTTAGTTGCAGGTCCTTCTAGTTGTGGGATGTGGGACGCCGCCTCAACGTGGCCTCACGAGTGGTGTCATGTCTGCACCCAGGATCCAAACCCTGGGCCACCACAGCGGAGGGTGCGAACTTAACCACTCAGCCACGGAGCCGGCCCCTAAGGTGCCAATCATTAAAAAAAAAAAAAGAAAAGAAACAGAAAAACTTTCCATTGGGAAAATATTCCTCCGAACAATTCCAGTCCAGCCTAAAACTGTTTAAATTTATATACTTTTACTCCATGGAGAACACTAAAATTACCTTGATGCTAAAATAAACAATTATGTAAAAGTGGAACCAAA